CAAGTTTCGCTTTCTGTCTACAGGGCTTTCCACGTCGCAGTTCCCCCGCTCTCTGTGCACCATCTCGTCTACCCCCTCCCTCTCTGCAGCCCTGGGAAGTGGGGACCGGCACTGAGAAGAGACCAGGCTGGTGAGGTCACCTGGCAGACCAGCCGCTGATCTAGGATGACCCAATGATAGTGGATGCTGGGCTGGGCCCCCGTGCTCCAGGAAAGAGCCCCCTGGGAAGGGGGAGCAGGGATGAGCAGAGGGAGGGGCCCTAGGACTGTGCCTCTTCCCAAATGCATGGGCTCAGCCATGTGGCCAGTGGCCGCCCTGCCACAGCCCAGCCTGTTAGGGACAAGACCAGGTCCCCCAGACATTGAGGATTTCCTCCTCCCTTGGTGGGGCTTAAATCTGACCTCCAAAGAGGACAATGCTTAACACAAAACACTGCCATTTCTGACATATGGAAGATGGCTCCTCCTCAGAATCCCTCGATAATAAAAATATAATTTTATCATATTTACCCTGTGCCAGGTGCTATTCTGAACACTTTACTGGTGTTAACTTGCTTGCTTCTAAACACCCTATGATGTAGGTGCTTTTATTATTCCCATTTTGAAGATGGGGACATCGAGGCACAGAGGTAAAAAGATTTGCATAAGGTCACACAGCAGGTCAGTGGCAGAGCCGGAAGTCAAGGCCAGAGAATTTGGTGCCACACTTGCCAGAAGCCACAGACCAGGACTGCGTGGGCAGAGGGGGCAAGGCTGTGGTCTCCGTTCCCTCTGGGACCTCCAAGGCTGCTGGTGCAGAAGGGCCAGCCCCTCCTCACTGGCCTGGGTCAAGGCCAGAGCCACAGAACCCTGGAAGGGCCCTTGGGCAGCTGCCTTCCACCTGGCACTCTTAGCCCTTGACAGCTTCCCTGGCAGGTGGGCATGCCACCTCTGCTTGCACACCCCCAGTGATGAGGGGTTCACGTCCTCCTGGCTGCCTGTGGCCTCCCTGCTCTGCTCTGCCTGAGAGAAACCTCCTCTTCCTCTTCTTGTGAACCCAATGCCCGGAGGGGTCTGGCTCTGCCCTGTGGCCCTCCAGACTTCCCTGCTCCCCCTGCTCTGGGACAGCACCTGGGGCCCCTCTGACTCCTACAGACCCAGTAGGCTTTTCTGAACTCCAGAGACTATGACTGTGGCCCAAGGGGCTCTTCTAAGGGCAGTTTGGGGAATTAAAATGAAGACCGGGCTGCAGGCACCCATGTATAAGAGTGTGTGTCGGGGCTGGTGGGGAGGTGGTGGCTTCAGGGCTCTGCTTCCACCCAGCCCCCCACCTTTGCCCCCACAGTGAGGCCAGCCCAGTGCACTGTTTCCAGGGCCTGGCCCTTTTAAATTTAGCTGCAGGAAAAAGCAGTTTGTGCAGGCCTGGAACGCGGAGACAATCAGCAACAGGAAAAAGTCACCCGAGGGGAGTTTTCACTGAATTATGGAGGCGTTGTTCCTGCGCCCAAGGAGCCAGGGCTGCTGGTCCAGGCCTCACGGACCCAGCCCAGGCCTCTGGGGCCAAACCCCGCCTGGAGCTGCGTCAGGAGGCATAGCGTGGGCGTCTGAAGGCCAAAAGAAAAGCAGAGGAAGAAAGATACTGGGAATTCCCTGTGTCCCAGCGATGCAAGAGCCTTTCTTGAAAATCAACAGCAAGAGAAAGGCTGCTGCCCGCCCAGGCGGGGGGCCTCGGGAGCAGGAGGAAGCCACAAGCGATATTTTGAGATATTTTCAGTGTGGTGTGATGCCGGTTGATTTTCCAAAACATTAGGGCCTCATGCTGGGGGAGAGTTGAGGTTGGACGGGGGCTGACCGGGGGTGGGGCCGGGCTTCAGGATGGGCCAGGACGAGGACATAAACAGAGGCTGACCCAGTTGGAGTGCTCTGGTTTCCCAGCTGGCTGGCTTGCACGCCCCTCGCAGCCCTGGGAGCACAGGGGGTCTCCTGTTGATCCAAAGGGCCTCCCGGACGTCACCTTGATGAGAGGACCGCAGATGAATACTGGGATCTCCTGCCCAGAAAGCCTGCTAGGTAGCTAGGCAGATTCTGCTTGCTCGCCTCTCCTGACGGGGTGCTCACTATCTATTGGTCAGCCCATCACATTTCTGCACAGCTCAGACTGGGAGAAACAAGGATGATGCTTCTGGAGGGGACACAGTAGTGAGATCAAAATTTCTGTGCTCACGGAGCTGACATTCTAGTGAGGAGACACAGACAGTACACAAAGTTATAGCATGTTAGAAACAGCAAGCACTATGAGAAGATAAACCAGGGAAAGGAGGAGGAAGTGCTTGGGATACAGTCTAAAAATGGGGGTTAAGGAGAAAATCCCTTCTCACTCTCAGCCGGGACCCAGCTCCTTGGGCTGTCTCCTGAGCCCGTAGTCTTCCCCCTGGGCCCGTAGCCCATCTGCTCCCCATGTCCTGGGACAGCCCTGCTCTGTTCAAGGCTGAGCAGGGCCAGCTACTCACCGCAAAGGGGCTTCAGCCCCCTCCTCATTCTTCTCAGCAGCTCAGAGCTGAACGCCTTTCCCAGAAGTGGGCAGAGCATTTTAAACCCTCTATGAACGCACCTGAGGTCCCAATTGAGCTGTTCTAGCAGCTGTATCCCACTGTTAGCGCCTATTGAGCTCCTTGACCTCTGCAGCCCTGTGCCTACGACAAGCCCCGCCTCCTCCACCCACGGGCAGCGCCGACCCCAGAGCGAGAATGTGCATTTATTCCTGTTGTTTCCTCTTGTGGAATTCTGTCCTTGCAGCTTGCAGACATCTTTTTGGCACAGAGGTGGACCACATACGAGACAGACAAAGAGTTGATATTAACATACAAAGAGTGCCTAAAAAGCTATAAGAAAAATACACAACAAAAATAAAGAAACTTGGGCAAAGAATATGATCAGGCGATTCACTGCAGAAATGCAAATGGCCAATAAACAAATGAAAAGATGCTCCAACTCTCAGGCAGTTGTGGAAATGCAAATTAAAAGAACAATGAGATGCCATTTTTCTCTCATCAGATTGGAAAAAACTAATAAATATTGATGACATCCAGTGCCAGCAAGGAGGGGGCAGTCAAGCAGCTTTGACACTGCTGGTGGGAGTGTGAGCTGCCACTATCGTTTGGGACAGTAATCTGCAGTTTCCATTAAAGTTTAAAATGTATATGCCCTTTGATCCAGCAATTCCACTTGGGAGAATTTATCCTGCAAAACCGTATAGATACATAACCGTGATACATACAACGGTGTTGGTTGCAAAAAATAAAGAGTGTACTAAATGTTGATCAATAGGGCAATGATTGAATGAATCCTGGGACATTCACTCTATAAAATCTTAGGTAGCTGAGAAAAATAATTAGATTGGCATGTATGTACATACATATGTATGGACCTGGAACCATGTTTATATTATTAGACAGAAAACAAGTTGCAAAATCAGGTATGTGGAATGATCACATTTTTGTAAATATGTTTGGAAGAGCAAAGAGTAAAATGGAAAGAAATATTCACCAAACTGCTAGCATTGGTTACCCCAGGGCAAGAGGATCACTAGGAGCAAAAGGATTATATTTTTTATGGCACCTCTGTATTGTTTGACTTGCACAGTAAGTTTTATAGCTCTAATAATTTAGGTAGTAAATACTCTTTCTTAAAAATCACTTGGAAGTGGTTCTTATGGAGACCCGCCCATCCTGTCAACCTCACAAAGGGCAGCAGTGTCGAAGGCTGTCCTCTCCCTGCCGAGCCGGGGGGTCCAGCTCACTGCAGACCTCCTTCCTGGGCCTTCCAAGGGATATCTTCTAAGAGTCCACTCCTCTTCTCACCCTCACACTAGCAGGAACCCCATCGCTCACTGAGCCGCATGGATGGTCCCTGCCTCAGTTTCCCATATCTGCCTCTCCCATGCCTCATCCTACCTCTCCTGTCCTGTGAATGGTACTGGTTCCAGAAACCATCCAGTAGGGACTGGGCTGGGTTTCCTGATCTTGGTCAAAGATTTGGGGGTGCAGGACTAGGACCGGGACAACAGTCGGTTTCCATCTTGCCTGCCAGCTCTGAACAGTGGCAGAGGCTGCTATGCAGGAAGAGATTCGGAGGCGGTTTCCAGGCTCCACTGGCAAGAGTTCTGTGATTGATTAGCAGTGTCTGCTCTTGGCAGAGGACTGGTGAACCCGAGCACCAAAGTTACTTACCGGCCATGCTTGGTTTAGGCCAGCGATTCCCAGACTGAAACAGGCACAAAAATCACGGGGCATCTTATTCACATACAGATTCAGGTCCAGCAGGTCTGGGGCCTGGCCCAAGATTCTGCATTTCTAGCAAGCCCCCAGGAGATTCCAATGCTGCTGGTCCAAGGACCACCCTTTGAGGAGCAAAGGGCAAGGATCCTTGAGATCTCCGTTCACAGCCACCTTCGCTTCTCCCTCAACTTTCCACACACTTGCAAACAGAACTGATCAACCCCTCCCCACTGTCCAGCACTATGTGTACGCGTCACATCTTTGACTCTTGGAACAGCCCAGGTTATTATTATCTTCCTTGACAGATGAGGAACTGGAGGTCCAAGAAGGGAAAGAACTCATGCAGGGTCCTCCAGCCTCTGGCGGCAGAGGTGGGCCTGATGGCAGATCGATCACCAAGCTCCCTAAGCCCCAACCGTCTCCTTTCTGGAGCCAGAAGCTGCCAGACAGACCCTGCGGCTCCCCGAAAGCACTGCATTCAGTGCCATAAATAAGGCCTCGCCAGTCAGGTCCCTCCTCCTCCCTTGGCAGCATCTCACAGCAGGCTGGGTCTACGGCAGCCGCGGAGGGAAGGGGGGCTTGCCGACAGCGTGAGTTATGGGCTCCAGGAAACCCATTAGTCACCAAAGCGAGAGAAGTTAACTCGAGCTTATTAACTCTAAACGTTTATTATTCACATTGGTCACCGAGGCAGACAGCACCGCCACCCCACCCCCCGGAGCCAGCTGGCGCATTCTGATCACAGGATGGCGATGTGGGCTGGAGGAGCTCCTGCACCCAGAGTCCCCAGGAAACGCACGCAGGACACAGCCAGCTCAGCTGCCCCTTCCAAGACGCCAAGAAGGGTTTCTCATCCTGTCAGTGGCACTCATCCGCTCCCCACACATCTGCCAGCCCCTGTTCTGCCGGGTCCTAAGGCAGGAGCTGGGAAGCCCTCATGCACACTCCGACACCATGTCCATCATGAGGGCTGCCCGTGAGGCGAGGGAGGTGGGCAGCCTGGCGGTCAAGAGCGCAACCTCCCGACTGCCACTCAGCAGCCGGTGACCTTGCCTACAATCCCGTGACTTTTCAGAGATTCCGTTTTGTCATCTTTAAAGTGGGGCCATGTTCGTTCATTTGACAAATGATTGTTGAGCACCTGCAGTAAAGAACAGGAAAGCTCACTGTCCTCACGGAATTTATACTCTGGATGGAGACAGACATAAAGCAACTGAAGAAAATAAATGGAGTGATTTCAGATAGCGGCGAGTGCAAGGAGGAAAATAATCCCGAGTTTCGCGGACAAGAGCGCCCAGGGGCTTGGGGCGGTATTAGTGGCAGTGCCCAGGGACAGCCTCTCCAAGGAGGTGGCGTTTGAGCTGAGACCTGAATGATGGGAAGGAGCCAGAGAGAGATCAGGGCCAAGCGGAGTCCAGGAGAAGGGAGCAAACAGCAAGGACGAAGACTGCGGGTCAGGCAGAGTTTGGCAAGCAAGCATGGTGACCGGAAAGGAGGCCAGGGCGCTGCGAGTTAAGTGAGATGAGGGAGGAGAGAAACGGGGGCCAGCGGCTATTGTAAGGACTTCAGATTTTATTCTCAGTACAGTGGGGGGCCACTGGGTGGTGGTAGGTTAACAAGGTCATTAGGGACATAATCATACTTGACCTCCCTCCACAGCCATTATGAAGTGGAGTCGAGTCTGGGGGCCCCGCCCTGATCCCCGTTATAGGACAGTGCTCCTGTCCCCCAGCTGCAGTGATGTTTGGTGGTCACTGCTGACAGCTGCCCCTCTCTCCTGAGCATGGGCCCTGGCTTCCACCCTTCTCCAGCGTGGGCCCCTGCCCCTCAAACTCTGCGGGGCTCTTTGCGCTCCAGAGCCCCCCCGGGGGCCAGGCCGAGGCCTGTCTCCAGCAGGGACCACAGCTCTGCCTGGAGCTTTTCTCTTGCCCTCCTCACATCCCTCACCCCCGGCCGAGGGTGCTTCTTCAATAATTCACGTGCACCTAGATCCCTGACTCAGGCTCTGCTTCTGGGGGCCCTGACCCAAGACATAAGGACTAGATCAAATGTGACTACTAAGTCTGAACCCAAGGCCTGCCACACGGGGGTATCTTAAGGTGATCAACTTGTCCTGGTTTGCCCAAGATGTTCATGGTTTTCACACTGAAAGTCCTGTGTCCCAGAAAACTCCTCCGTCCTGGGTAAGCCAGGATGGTTGGCCACTGGTAACTGCTTGATAAGATTCATTCATTCATTCACTCATTCGTTTGTTCATTCATTCAGCAAACACCTCCTGATGTCTCCCTGTGCCAGGCTCTGTCAGTAGAACCAGGACAGGGTCCTGTCCTCACGGAGCTCAGAGTCCAGTTGCAGGAGGCAGGCCATATCATCAGATGCTTATCAGGCCTGCAAGTCAGGAGAGCAGTCCTGGGCTGGTGAGGCCGGGCTGCCTTTCAAGGAGGAGGAGTTGCTGCCCAGGGAATGGGGAGGGGTGTTCTGGGCAAAGCACCCACCCTGGCGAGCTGATAATCAGGAAAGCCCTGAGCTTCAGGTCTGCGAATGCAGAGAGATGCTATGAGAAGCAGATTCTGGGGTCCTACCAGCCATGCCTTCAGCTGCTCCAAGCCTCAGTTCCCCCATCTGGGAAGGCCCCTCCAGATCCAGCAGGAAGCCCAGAATGTCTGCAAAGGAAAGCTCTCTTTGGGAGGAGCCCTCTGAGGCCACCAAGGCCCATAGGCCTTCAGTCAAGATGGTTACAACAAGACAGGGAACCTCCTCTGAGCCAGCAGGCACCATGCTGGTCCCTGAAGTCCCCTGACAACTCAGAGTCTACAGGTCTATAGACCTATAAGTAGGTCTATTATCTCCATTTTACAGACAGGGAAACTGAGGCTTAAAGAGGAGTAATGACTTGCCCAAAGTCATGCAGCCAGGGAGTGGTGGAGCTGGGGTGGGGCCCCAGGGCTCTCAGGCTCCCCAGCCACTGAGCCACCTCATCAATTCAAGAAGATAAGGAAGGCATTGTTGCCTACATTTGATTCATTCCTTTATGCACTTCCCTTTTATCTGCTTTCTGACATAGAGTGGGGTGGATGAAAGCGCATGTTCCATAGCCAGCCTGCCTGCATTCAGAGCCCAGCTCCACTGGGCAGAAGCTGTGCACTGAAGGCAAATGACGTACCCTCTCTGTGCCCCGACTTCCTCATCTCTCAAAGAGGAGATCACAATAGCACCTCCCTTGAAGGGTTGTTGTGAAGATTAAACCAGTTAATATATGGAAAGCACTTAGAACAGAGCCTGGAACATCATCTCAGCTATTATTGCTTTTTTTATTACTATGACTTAGTACAGTGCATGTCATAATAATAAAACATTGGAAACAACCTAAGTGTTCAGCAATAGGGGAGTTATTAAGCCAACCATGATTTATTGATTTCAGTGGACACAATAGTAATTAAGACAGGTGATCTTGGCGCAAAGATAGACAAAGACTAAGGGAACAGGATAGAAAGTCCAGAACTAGACCAACGTGTGTAGAATCACCAGATTTATGGCAACGAGATGCTACAGTGGGAAAAGGATGACGTTTTGAATAAACGGAGCTGGTTCAGCTGGATATGCACTTGGGGGAGAAGAGTCTTGACCCCTACCTCACACCATACACCCATATGTGTTTCAGTGAACTCTAAGCAGCCATTCACCTTGACCAGAACGTTGGCTGTGTGTATGTTTACCCAGTCCTGCACTTTGCAAAAGGTGAACTTGGGATAATAAAGCACTTCAAATGTGTGCACAGACTCTGATGAGGAAGCCAAGGTGAATTTCAGTGGTGTCAATGGCTTCACATGAACGAAAATTTTGGTCGTGATAGTTGTCCTTTCAGTAAAACGAAGGACAGTCCTTTATTTTGAAGTTCAATCACACAACTCACCCATTCCAAGATAATCACAGGAGAAGGAAGATGAATTTTAGGCAACAAGTAGTCAATAAGAAAGTTCCGATTTCCTTTGGAGAAAAAGGAAAACATGTTTTGTTGTCCCCCGACAGTGAGATGGAAAAAAATAAAATAACCAAGGGAAAAGTCACCCCACGCTTTCCTCGCGGCCCGTGGGCCCCCACCACTGTGGCACCATGAGGAAGTCGAATGTTGAGCGAGCAAAACATGTTTTCCTTCGGCAGGACGTCTGTAGGAACTGTTGCAATCAATTATTGAAAAACACAAAAATAAAATAAAGTTCAGCCCGTGGTAAACACTACCACCCTCTCTGGGATCAGGAAAACAAAGGCCAGGGTTGGGGTCAGCATGGAACAGTGGGCAAGCACGCCAGGCAGGAGGCAGGGACCTGGACTTTGGTGAGGCCGTGTGAGGCGGGAGCCTTTCTGAGCCTCAGTTTACCCATCTGCAAATTCACAATTCTGCGTCCATCTCACAGACCTCGGGGTGAATGTGCCATTTCAGTCACTCGATAAATGTGTATTTAGCTCCTACTCCATGCCAGGCTGTGAGCTGGGGGCTGAACTCCCCGAGATGTCGCTTTCCTAGCACTGCTGTGCTCTAGGCCAGCTTCATGGGCGTGCGACCAGTGCTGTCACACAGGGACCCACACTAGGAGGGCCTCGTGCTTGGTTTAAATCCCCATGCTCTGCTGTCAGCATCTTGAAATTCTTAATTTTTGAACAAGAGGTACTGCCTTGTCATTTTGCACTGGGCCCCACAAATTATGGAGCTGGTCCTGGGTGTGAGGCAAGAACCAATGATGCTTTTTGATTGCTCACTAAGTGGGGTTGAAGTGAACAGGAAAGGAGAAGCTAGGTGTTACCAGTACTGTTCTACCACCTGCCCTACGTGTGCCCTGGCCACAGGAACCTGTAAAGCCCTCATAAGTGCTGCGGCTGCCACTGTTTCAGGGAAAATTATCTCTATTTTGGTTGTGAAGGTCTTGAGTTAAATGCAGTGGGAAAAATGCCAGCTTTGTGGTTACAACAGACCTGGGACCCCAACCTTCTGCTGCTGGCTGCCTGTGTCTCCCTGGGCAAGTCTCTGAGGCTCAGTTTCCTCATCTGTAAAATGGGTATAATCACATCTGACATACAGAGTGCTTGTGAGGAATAAACAGATACTGTTTAAAGCCCCACAGCTCTACCAGTTTGGGGAGACACAAGCCCACATCCGTAGGTGGGGGGTATCTGGATCTGCAGGGAGGTGTTCACAGCTAGAGGCAAATCCTCCTCTGGCTTTAAAATTAAGAGTTTGACTAGACCCTGGGACACTCTCCCTGGAGAGCAAGGGCTGATGCTGCTACCTGTTCATAAGTGAAATGCAAACAAATTTTATTTATAAATAGTTAAAAATTAGTTAACCAAACTGTCAAGTCAGCAAGAAATGGTGTGTGGGTTAGACCTCCACAAAACACAAGCAAATGTCTGCCTGTTAAAAGACATCAGATCCTAACCCATCGCCCACTTGGTGCCAGGTACTTCTTCATCAGTGACAGTAAGTAATAGTATCTAACAGTTATCAAGACGTTACTGTGTGCCAGGCACCGGGCTGAGCGCTTCCGGGTCATTATCTTAGTTCATCTTCCTAATAGGCATGTGTGGAAGGTGCTGGAAATGCCCCGTTTCACAGGTGAGGGCACACAGAAGGGAAAGGACTTGCCCGGGGCTCAGAGCTGGGAAGCGGTGGGACTGGGGCTCAAACCCCAGCGTGTCATCCACACCCTCTTCCTCTCCCCACACCCGCCATTCCCTACTCCCCTGAACAGGAGAGGGTCAGGCTCCAGCCTGTGGCCCCCTGCCGGAAGGCGGCGTGGCGGCAGCTCCCACAGGGAACCATGCATGTTGACCACAGTCTCTTCTAGAAGGAAGGAGGACAGCGGCCGTGGGGCGATGGACCAGCACCCAGAGCGCCAAGTGTTTTAATGGTGTTCCCGGGCTGGGCCTGATTCATTTCTCTAAGTGTCTGGGGTCCAGGTGGGGGGAGGCTCACCCCAGCAACTGATGGTGCCCATGACAGGGGTCACATTGCCTCCTGGGTCCCTCTCTGGGCACAAAACTGCTGGGGT